CTTTACTTGTTCCATTTGTACGTCGAACATTTTTACAAACAGATTTACCATATTATGTATTTACACAAGGTGCAACATATGATGTTACACATGAACAAACGTATAAAATTCAATTATTAACTATGACTAATATACGTGATACGCATTTAAAAAATTTTGCTGATCCATTATTAGATAAAGAAGTCACAGATTTACATTTAAATTCATCAAATATATCTATTGAACGTGAAAATGAATATAATTTTCATTTAAAAACCAGTTTACTCAATAAAAGTCCATATCGTTTTAAACAAACATCTAGTTTAGATGAACTTTTTGTAGAACTAACACGTCTAATGTATACTTTATATGAAAAATTTCGTTTACCATTTCGTATAATTAATTGTTCATCAGATAAATTACGTTCATATGAATCAATGAGACTTGATTATGAAGTATTTTTACCAAGTTCTAATTCATATGTACGTGTTGGAAGTATATCGTTAATTGGAGATTATCTTAGTAGACGTTTAATGATTCGACATAAAAAAGTTAAAGATGATAAGAATGTTAATATCAAAGAAAAAATCACTTCGGAAAATGATGTACCAAGAGAAACAAAATTTAATTATGTACAACTTATACATGTACAAGTTGTTGATGTTGATATGTTAACTAAGTGTTATGTTGAAAAAGAACAAAAAGGTTTTTCAAAATAAAATAAATCATAAACTCAATTTAAAAAAAAAATGTTCATTTGTTGGTTTTCTTCTTTCATTTAGTCATAGTTGTCTTTCTTCTGATTGTGTAACCTTTAATAAACGTTCTGAATGTTTTAAATTTTTTTGTTTTTTTTGTTGGAGATTCATGTGAATATATAAAATTTCATTGATTTTTATCAAGACTTTCAAGATATTGTTTATATTTATTGTTAACAAATGAAAATATGAATAATTTATTAGAATTATTTAATCATGTTCAACAAGATTTAATTAAAAAACAAAAATTATTCGAAATAGAACAAGAAGATATACATGATTCAATTAATCGAACATTTAATAAAATATTTGAGCAATTAATTGAAATTCGACGATTTTGTCGAAATGATATTGAAAAACAAACATTAAATGCACAAGTATGTTTTCAAATGATGTCAAATTTTATTGTTTTCTCACCACGTTTTGTTAATGGAGAACAAAGAATATGAAATTGATCCTATTAGATCATCCCTTCTGAGCTGGGTCTTTTAATTTTGACCTCGGATGATTTGTGAAATACAATGGTGTTTTCTTCAGTCAATATTTCAAGAAAGAAACGTCTATTTATAAGCAACATTTCTGGGTCAAACTTCCAGTAAAACCGTCATGATTCAAGATGAAATGTCTAATAAGATGCATTCTTTTAGGCTTCTTCTAGTCTCCAAAAATTCTACTTATGAGAAAAATATAACACTCTAACAGAAGGTATCGGCTGGAAATATTCCATGATAATAATCCGATAATCAAAAAGCAACTGATACAAACAAAATTTGTCTAGAATTTTCTGCTTTAATGTAATTAATAATTTTTGCTATACTAGTTTTTTTATATTTAGATTGAATTACAACAAATGCTTGATGCTATACAATATATGCGAACAAAATGTCTTATGTATCATGGAAATACATCAGAAACATTAGATTTATTTTCTATTGAATTAGAACAATGTACTGAACGATTATCTAAAATTATTCTTTCACCTGCACGTGATCTTGATAATTTATTATCGTATTTAACAGCATCATTTTCTTCAATACCTTCACATTATCTACCAGAAACACCAGTATCATCATCATTAGAACCTATATCAAATAAAATTATTAAAGTAAATCCTGCTGTTTCATTATCAACAATAACAATTGATTCAGGCAAAAATAGTGATCATAGTTATAATAACAGTATTGGTGTATTAAATGTTCGTAATTTAAGTAACTTTAAATTTGGTCCAAGTATTATATTAGCTTATCCATGTGATATGATTGCATCAAATGGACGTACTATACTATCATATGTTATTGAAAAAAATTTTCTTAATTATTCAACTGTATCTGGTATTAATTTATCAAGTATTAAAGTTTATCGTTTATTAGCACCGATAACGGCAAATAATGCTCGACTTTGGGATATAGCTTGGTGTTCATGGAGTAAATTTTATCTTATGTAAGTTATACATAGAATAGAGCAAATTGATTTTTGTTTAAATGTAAACTTGAAGATTTTACAGTATCGGTAAAAAATATAAGAATAGTATATTTTTTGTTTTTTTTCCTACTATACTAAAATTATTTTCTGTGATGCTAATACAGTTTTAAAGTAAAATCAAAAGAAAATACGACAATCGCTCATTTTATTCAAGATTTTGTCGTCTTTACGATGATAAAATTCAGAGTAACAAATTATTATCTAATTTGCATTTCTTTGAATAATAAACGATAGAAAAAGTCGATATTAACAGCACGAGTTAAAAAATCTATGAAATAAAAAAGCACTGATTAACAATTTTCACATATTGAAAATCAACATTTTTGTATATCTCAAATCATACTAAGTCATGAGATGATATGTTTTTATTTTCAAAAAGTCTAAATAAAATGATAATGAGAAAAATTTTATGAAGATTTAATTCAATGTTGTGAAAAATAATCATAGAAAATTGATTTTTATACAAATGAAATGTATGTATTTGAGATTGGATTGAATCAAGAAATTCATCTTATTTCTGTTAAAAGTTCGCAACTACTACATTGAGCAACTTGAATATTAATATGCTCGTAATTATGCTAGTGAAAAAAGAAAGATAAAATTGATATTAGGATGTCGATGTAGCATTGATATGGACAAAATTCTTGTCTTCATCCATACCATATATACTTGTTAAAACAAAATGAATTGTCTTACAATAATGCTCATTATTTTGTATCATTTCATTACATAATTATGTTAATCAATTTGAATTTTCTTAAAATAGGAGTTTACCGTGCCCTGCTATACCGACATTTGTAATTGCGAAAGGATGTTGTTTTTATGTGAATATTTCATTGTATATTTATTTTGATTTCTTTGTGATTATCGATTTTAGTGTGGGTAATCTAGGTCTTTATTCTCTTTGTTATCCATATGATACAAATTCATATACAAATGAACATTTACCACAAGTCAATAAATTAATTAATTTTCGTGGTTTATCGTTTCAACATGTACGTATATCATCACATTCAAATGGTTGGTATATTTATATGGTTGATCATCAAAGTGTTTCAATTGATTTATATGATCGTCGATCAGGTCAACGTTTACGTCATTATGATAATCATAGTCAACATGATATACTTCCACTTGGTTTTCATGGTTTTTGTTTAAATAAAAAATTATTTGCTATTGTTAAAAAAACTGAAGTTCTATCAACAATAAATAATCCACATCAAGTAAAAAATGAACAAAATATTCAAGTTTATTTTTTTGATCTTGAAACAATGTTGTGTATACAACAAATGTCATTGTATCATTGTTCAAATGTTTATGATATAAAATGTTGTTATGAAGAAAATATTTTTATGATACTTGCTGAACCTATGCAACTTATTCTTATTAATTTAGATACAAATGAATTAATAAGAAAAAAATTATTAGATGAAGGAAAACATTTATATATTATTAATGATCATGAAGTGTTTATTCTACGCTCAGAATGTTCTATTCAAACACTTCAATATCGAAATGTTAAATAAGATTTTGTTGTATATTAAGAAAAGAAAGCTAGTCGTTTATTTTGTTTATTTGTTATTGTTATTCGTTTTGAAAATATTTGTAAAAGATCTTTTTTTTTTCTTTTTTTTTTTTTTTTTTTCGTTTTTTTGAACAGTTTATTATGATAAGTAAAACGAATGTGAAAGTACAGATATCTTTTTCTTTTTCATTTTGTATTTGAATTTCCCTTCGTTTTTCCATGGATAATGACAACAAATTAATAATCTCCATTTGAGCTCATACTTTGTTCATAGATAGGGTTTAAAATGTAGATAAAAGTTCGGGAAAGGTTCATCCCATAAGATCTTCCTTCTTGAGCCACGATCATTTTACTGAACTTTTAGCGTATTGAAGAATATCACGAGAAAAATTATAACAAGAAACTTCGATCTGAAAACGTTTCCAACAATAACTTTCATGATCCTTATAATATTCTGAAATTTTCAACTTAAACAGATGTTTCCCTTCTGTGACAGCATATTAGTAAAAAACGTTACTTTCACACAAGAGCTCTCAAAAGAGTCCAGGTTTTAGTCATTCGATATCTTAAGAAAAAATCGTCCGTTTGAACTAAAACTTCCAGGATATCATAAAAACCATGATAAAAAATTGTTAGAGAGATTTTCAGATCGAAACTTCTTATTGCGGCTTTTCTCGTGATATCTTCCAATAGACTGAAAGTTCAGTACAATGACCATAACTCTAGAAGAAAGTTCTAATGACACGAATCCTTTCAAGATTTTTATCTACGCTACGAGTCATATCTATGAGTGAAATATGAGCTGATATGAAAATTTTTAGTCCTACGAGTTCCCTCCTTAGTTAATTCCAGCGAAATGGGGGCTGGATCCTCTACTTTGTATTTTTATAAGCATTACTGGTTTTATTCAATATGTTATTGGTTTCATGGATGTTTTATATAGTAGCTGTCATCAATAAATGATGTTATATTCGTTACTATTCAAAAGAAAACAAAAAGTAACTGATGATATTCTAAGAGAATAATAAAAAAAATATCAGGAAGATATTTTCATTAACAAGCAACACAAATAGAAGTATATATACTAGTCAAAAAAATTTGCGGAGTTTATTGGAATCAAAATGCTTGCCCCTCGTAGGACTCTATTGATTAAACTATCAATAGAGAAAATTTGATGTCTAACTAAACCTATTTATTTCAAGAAACTTTAACAAGACATCATACACTTAATTTTTTTAGATAATATATTTATTAAAATGTCAGATATCTTTACAACTTATTCATCATGTGCAATTGATGATCGGAATGATAATGATAGTCTAGAAGAATTTTTAACAAAACTTGCTCGATTTGGTATTGATCAATGTTTACATTTAGCTCATCTAATTGTTAACAAACAACGGTCATCTGAAAATTTTTCAACACTTGATCATAAGTATAAAATCTTCGAAGATAAACAAGTAAAAAATAGTTTTTTTCTGTTAAAAGAAAGGAAAAAAATTATATTTTATATACAAATATTAGATTGATTTAAATAATCTTTTGTTGGAAATACAAACATTACAAAATGAATTTTATAATATATTGTTAATAATATCATCATCAAATGATGAAAAAAAACAATTATTATTTAATAAATTACAAAATTATTTATCAAATTTTGTTGAAATTAATTTACGTTTTAAATCATATGAAATTTCTACGAAAGAAATTCATTTGAATGATTCAAAACAATCAATAAATACATTTGAATTATTAACAAAAAAATTTGATGAAAGTTTATCAACAATATCTAGTTTATCAAATAAACCATCAATAATACTATCATCTTCATTCTTTTCAAATGATGATATTAATAATAATATTGATATAGGAAAAAATTGGAAATTTTCAAATATAATTCATACACGTTTTCAAATGTCTTTAATTGCATCCAATTCACATATGATTATATGTTATAATAATCAGAATAATTTTCTTCATTTCATTCGTATTGATGGTCAATTTCAAGAAAATATTAAATGGAAATATGAATCTATTATTGATATTCATTGGTAAAATACTATGAAGAAGAAAGAAAACAATGTTTATGATATAGTTTTTGTTTCTTTTTTGTATTTAGGTGTTCATTTATGGATCGATATATAGCTGTAACACATAAATCGATTTACATTATTGAATATAATAAATCAAAACTATCATCATCAAATTCAATAATTGTTGAAAAAGTTCTTGAGTTAGAAAAATTTAATTCTGCTCGAATTACTTGTAATGAAAATAAGATTTTACTTTATACAATTTATCAACAAAAAAGTTCAATTCAAATTTATGACAAGCAATTCAAGAAAGGAAAAATATTTGATAGTTTAATCAACAAACAATTACCGGTAGATAAGTTTATTTTAATTTATTCTTGAACCTTTTTACTTTCATAGCTTATACAAAAGTTACTCTTCATTACATTGAGAAATATTTTATTTGGCATAATAGAGAATGTCATGGATGTGTCAAATGCCTTTTTTTTAGAAGTGCAGTACATTTCAGCATCAAAAATCTTAGGTTTTGAATAAAGTATTAGTTTTTTCTAAATTAGAATAATTTTTTTGCATGACTTTTTCTTTTGTAGAAGTCCTACGTTATCATGAGATAAAGCAATAGATGTCATCAGTTTGAAAAGTTTTGAAATCTTGAGATTTGCTATTAATAATTATGTATTTGTTTCTTTCTTGATGCTTGATTGAACCGCTATTAGTGAACATCTACCATTTTAAATAAGGTCTCAGTATCATGAAGCAATTTTTGTTGAAAATACATCTCCGTCGATTGCACACTTTCCTATTTTGAACTTGAACATCGTTTTTTAAATAGGAGAAAAACGATTTTTGTTTTTGTACAAAAAACAAGCTTGTGAGCATTGTTGTCTTGTGACCCGCTTCCTTTCTCAAGAAAAACTAATTTTTCTGTTGAAACGATAAAAAGCGCACATTTTAACACGTAAAAACGCTTTTTTTTTCTATTGATGTTGTCTGACTGAGTAATGTACTGGAATTGTTGCTCATCGTTTGTTAGGAATAAATATATCTATCAGAGTATTAAACGAAAACTCAAAATTTTCCACGCAATAGCACTTGATGCAAATATACAAGTTGTTCCAAAAGTTCAAACAAAAAAATCGCGAATGGTTCCTCGGTAATTCAAGAAGTTTGAATATTTTTTTTGTGCAGTTTGATCATATATTCATCAAGCAACGCAGTCGAGTTGTTTTATGAAATTAATATCGTCGCAAATCGATGATGTTCTAAAAAATCGTAAAGTAATATCTGAAGAAAAAGTCGATGAAGTTAATGACACTTGTAAAAATGAGCTAGGACCAAATATTCAGTTTATGTGACTCTACTTCGTAGAAGTAACTTGTTTGGCTTTAATAAGAGAGCTCCTTCTTAAACCAATAGGTTATTGTTTGTGATAATCAGCAAGCTTGTGAAATAGACTGTATACTTGATCTTGGCTCATTTTCGCAGGCATCCATGACGTCATTGAATTTTTCTTCAGTAATTGCTGTAAATCTTTCAGAAAGTCATTAATTTTCGAAAGTGCAATTTTCAAAGAATCACTGAACTGTGATTCCAATACGAGATTCAAGTAGCGTGTGGTTGTCAAATTCGACTTACAGCTTTCGTTTTTACAATAGTGACTAACTCGACTTTGAATACCATTGAAATTAATTTAGTTCCGACTTCTTCAGTTGCAGACATTGTATCTGAAATATATTTTCAATGTTTTTCGTTCGTACTTTTAGAACATCTTGTATATTTTGATGTATTCTAGAGCCACACTTATCAAATTCACATTTATTGAGACTACAACGATAATATGAGACTTCATAAAACTAATCAAAATTTTGTTTTGTTTTTTCATGTCATAGTAATATATACAACATTTTCTATAGATGAACACTTTTCAAAAGTCCCGACGGTATTCAAGAGAGAAATCTTTTTGTTTTTACATTTAGATCAATAGTCATTCATTTTGTTGTACGAACACATTAATTGGTTTAACAGAACAAGATGAAATACTTATATCGTATTTTCCATATATAACACCAAAAAAGGTTTCCTTACTTCTATTTGATATTGATACATTTGAATTACGTTATACAATCGATTTAAATAATTGTTCAAATATATATACAATGAAATGTCTTGAAAAGTATAATGTATTCTTTGGTCTTAGTGCTGAAAAAAATTTATGGATTATTAAAATTAATAATAATGAAACAGTACAAGTGGCAAAAAAAACTTTCTATACGAATCAAACAGAAGTAAAAAAAACAAACATTTATTTATGGGGTTTTTTTTATTAAAAAAAATTCGAACTATTGTAGATGTGTATTGTTAACAATCAAGATTTATTATTGATCAATGTTAATGGTGGTTATGCTATTCAATGGATCAAATATCGTAAAATAAAACAGTAGCCATTTCTAGTCTTGTTTTTTGTTTGTTTTATAGATGCCGAAAAAAAAAACATGTTATATTTGTGAAATAAAAAAAACCCTCTATAGTCAAAAACAAATATTACTTTTATTTTGATTAGAGTTGAATATAGAGAAAAATCATATGGTTCTTTTGCGTTTTGTTTATATCGTATGCGATGCGTAACGAAAAGAACAACTGTATCGTATAACCTTAAAAAAAATTTATTTAGACTACATAATAGTAAAAAGAATATTGACTTATGAGTGAACTAAATGTTAATTATGGTGAGTTGTTTTCTCTTTTTAGATTTCGACAAATTGTAATAAGATAATGATTAGATTATTATTAATAATTCTAGTCATCTCAAAAATTAATGGAGATAATAAAGGAGTAGATTCATCTACAGAAAATACTCGACCAATTATTGGTAAAATTATCAAAATGATTCTATAGTCAAATATGATTTTATTGATATGATTAAGGAATTTTAACTCAACCAACTCCATCAACATGGAAAAAACCAAATCGTACTACTTATTTAGCAGCATCTTATGTTAAATATATTGAAGCAACTGGTGCTCAAGTTGTACCTATTCGGTAAATCATTGAAATGAGAAAAAAATATTTCAATGATAATTTGTTTTTCTTTGTAATTTTAAAGAATGTATCAATCAATAGATTATTATTTACATTTGTTTAACTCACTAAATGGGTTCGCTAACAAATAAAACGAAGCTAATATTCTTTTTTTTTATTATATTGTTTTTCATTTAGAGTACTTTTTCCAGGAGGAGATTTTACTAACGAATATCTCTATGTAGCTAAACTTTTTTATATGTGGACATTGAAAGTAAACAAAGAGAAATTTGTTTTTGTTTAATTTATAACAGTCATTCGATTTGTTGTTTGTAGGAATTCGATGAAGTACAAAAAATTTTTCCTTTATGGGGAACATGTCTTGGTTTCGAAGTATTACTTATGTTAACAAGATGTTCAACTGATATTTTGGAGCCATGTAAAGCATATGATTATGCAACAGAAGTTACTTTTATGCCAGGTATTGAACTTAGTATTTACTTTTTATTGAAATGTTTTTGAGTTTTTTTTGAAAATAGATGCAGCTGATAGTCGACTATTGGGAAGATCATTACCAATAAATATAAAAAATGCCTTACAACATGAGCCGACAACAGCAAATTTTCACATTTTTTGTATGCGACCAGAAGTAAAATTTTTTTTCTGATTTGAATTTATTTTTTACTTATATCTTTCTATTAATACAGAACTTTTCAGCGGATCCTATATTATCAACATTTTATAAAATGTTAACCGTAAGCCCAGACACGGAAGGCCAAGCATTTGTTTCAACTATTGAAAGTAAATATTATTTATCATACAATCAGGGTAGAATGATACCGATAAGGACCTACAGTAGATTGCCAGTCAGAAGATAAACAACCGTTTACGAATACTATCTTGCTCTGTTTTAATCAAAAGCTCGATTTCGAGCTGAGCATAAGAGATAATTGCCTCAAGCATCATGTGCAAATTGAGACATCATTCGGTTCTAAACACCTTACTGTTACAGAATTCTTGAATTAAAGAAATGCTTTTAATAATACTCAAAGTGAAATTCGTTTTTTTTTACTTAACGTAATTCTAACATTGGCGGATCGGGCTGAAATTTTTACTACAAGTACTTGTCAGTATCTTCGATAAAAAGTTTACAGCTACGCCGGATAAAGTTTGACGGGGTTCGTCACGTATTAGAATGCAGTCCTATGAACAAACAGAGTTATCTCGAATACCATTTTTCCTTATTACAAGTGTTCTATCGATAGTATCCTCTTCGAGAAGCAGACATGATCAAAAAAAAACAGAGGTGGGACAAGATACCCTTAAGTACCGCATATGATACCGAACTGTCTACTGACAGATTTGGTTCGGTATAAACCACAGTGATACTCTAATTCTAACTTATTCGATCTAATCATTGTATGGAAATTAAACCATCTTAAAAATTTAATTCTGTTTGATATTGAAAGAAAACAGAAGGTATTTAAAAAGCAATAACTCTAGGTCGAATTTATTTAGGTCGTCGTTATCCAATTTTTGGTGTTCAATGGCATCCAGAAAAGAATGGATTTGAATGGCGAGTAAATACTACAATACCTCATACGAAAAATTCCGTGGAAGTAATGCAATATATGGCAAATTTTTTAACTAATCAAGCACGTCAAAATACGAATCATTTTAGTTCATTACAAGATGAATTAAAATATCTCATATATCAATATACATCAGAATTCTACGATTTAGACAAATCACATTTTCAACAAGTGTATTTTTTTTACGAATGAAGCCTAGTTTTTTTTTTTGTTCTTTCTTTATTTTTCAAATAAAAAAAAGTGAAATACACATTTTAATATTTTAACTGCTGAATAAATTGATCACTTGTTCGATAAAATCGAATATTTTTACTTATTTTTAATGGCCATGTTATGATACGATAGTAACCATTCATCATATTTGGGCATGCTCTTTCAAATGGTTGCATTGATATCCACCATGGTGTTAAAAGTAATGCTATAGGCATTATAAATAATAATAATATAATGAAAAGTATAATGCGTAAAATCCAAATACTGATACTAGTCATTGATTGATTTAAACTATTAGATGAACTAGTTGATTTGCCACTAGAATGTCTCAATGAGTCAGTAGAATCAATACGATTAGGCATTTGAAATATGTTCATCAATAAAGGCGCATTTTTTTTGTATAAAAAAGAGCATTCATTTAATCAAACGACATAAATGAAGAAATCATTTAATTTAGATCGAAAATAATGATCATAAAGGATATCTTAAAAGTTCTGTTACAATTTTGAAACTCATCGTTCTTGCACTCAACAAAAGCAAACTTCTTGAAATTCTAGCAGCTTATTGTACATATCAAGTACTATATAACTAGAAAGTTTGAGGTCTATAGTTTTTATAATAGATGAGAACCAGTAACAACATTGTCATGCGCTAATTTTTCAATTTTCCTGATCATCTAGATTATTATTACAAAAAACACAAACAGTGGAAATAAAAAGGAACGCACAACGATAGATATCGATGTTCGCGTCATTTATTAAAACCTTGATGAATTACTAATTTCAATCATGCTAATATTTTATTTGTCATATATTGGCATAATGAAACACTAAATTTATTACATTTCTTTTTTCATGTTGTTTTGCAAATGTTCAATGGCAATATTCTTCCCACTATAACTTTTCTTTTAATGCACCCCAAACGTTTTTGATAGGCCAAAGATCAGCTAATTAGCAGCACAACTTTTCGATTCAATTCGATGGATTAAAACTTCCGCAACGACATCAAAAGAGAAGTTACAGTGTGAAGAATACTGCTATTGAACATTCGCAAAATAATATTAAAGAGGAATGTAATAAATTTAATGCCAGGGAAAATTGGCGGATCCTCGGAATTCCGAATGCCATGAGAATCTCGGGAATCCGATGAAAATCCCAGGAATACTTGAATTAGATTTCTGAACAACATTGGAATTGTAACTCATGCTCATGCATAACAAGTATCACTTCATTTATTTAATATTTTGAAACTCATTCCTGTAAGAGAACCATTGAGAGGTATGAAAAATTTAGGGTGTGGGGTGAATGTTTCGTGGAGATGAAGGGAAGACGCAGATCCATATCCTCATCGATATGGTTAATCGAACATTCTAGACTATAGAAGCGACTGCTTTCTAACGAAATGATGTGAGCCGAATTCGGACATGTAGTAAGAGTAGTTATACAGTTCAAAAAGGAGAGAAATCTCAAACACTTTGCAGAATGACTCTCATACCGATCCATGGAAGGGTGAATCGAACTACAACGTTAAATTCGACATAAAATATATACAGCAAAACCTCTCTATATGAGCACCTACTTATACTGAGGGGTCAAAAGTCTGCCCGAGAGAGTTTTGCTAGAAATGAGCCTCTCAATTATGAGTACCTTGTTATTCTGAACGGCTCATACTGTTAGAGATAACTCAGTGGCAGAATTTTGTAATAGATGCAACAAGTTGTAGGCACCATGAATGAGAATCAGTGAACGTAGTCCAGTAAATTGATCGACATGAAATATGGAAAAAATAGTTTACATTGAACAGATAGATTCAAATTACTTGATCATGTAAGTGTGATGACATTTTTAGGATAGATAATATTTTTCATAATACATAAATTGGATTGTGATACGAAACGAAAGTCCAATGCATATCGGGTGTAGTTATTCGTTATGAAATAAAGTCTTTTGCACACGTATTGAATCGCAAGAATAATTGTCTCTGCATGAAAATAATCAAAACTTCAATAAACAAGCTGGGTCAATAATATATAAAGGGTAATTCCATTGGAACTGACACAAGGTATAGTATAGAGAGCTTTGAAGTAAGTTGTTCAGGTGTGGGTGTGGTTGTCACTGTTGTTATCATCCGCACTCACATAGGACGTCTCACACGAATTGCCTCAAGATTCGTCTAGTAAAAATAGAAAAACGTTTGATTAGAAGACGCCGGGTGATAGAAAAGTATTAGACATCTGTATCGTCTGAAGAGGTGTGATGAAAGATCGCGCTATATGTAATAATGGAATACCGAGGAAAAGGATTTATGTTTGAGTGAATGATGCCACTGCAGTTGTTTTTTAACTTCCTGACTGAGCAGTTGATGATATGAGTATCGTTTAGAGAGGTAAGATCATATGTTGCTGAAATTTCAACGGTTCCGTAAGTTCCTTGGATTCTCTTCGATTGTGGCTGATTACTGCTTATTTTAAAATTAATCTACGAGTTCTGAATTCCTCAAGGCTTCAGAATTCACGAAATTTGAACATGTCTCAAGAGAACATATTGATTTAAAATTAAAAAGTAACTTAGAAGGAGTTAGTTTTATAAACGGTTTATATGATTCAACATGGATTGAACATTCACAATCTTTCGATTCACTTCTTCAACAACTTTCATAATCTCATCAATCATCTTCTTCATCTTCACTTAACGATTCTAATCAAACTGTTCAACAAACTAAAACAGGATTTAAGTTTGAAAAGAACATAACTTCCATATTCGAACTCAAATGAGTTCAATAAAATGTGAGTTATTATTCAATAATCGATTTGAATGAATTTCTGTCTAATTGATTTAATGCTCAATTAAATTTCCTAGTCGATAATTTTCTTTTGTTTTGTCAAATAATTGACGATTTATGTTAGAACTTCGATGGATATTTCTACAGCTTTGCTTTATAACTACCACCACGTCTATAGAAAAGAAAATCTTCATTTTCAAACAATCATTGAAGAAAACAAATGTTTTAAAAGTTCGAATTTCGTTTAATAATGGGAGAAAAATCTTTGGATTATTCATTGTTGTTTTAATCAAACCAAACTTGAATTTCAACAAAGATAATGTTACTTTTGTCACTTTTTTTTCATCTGATTTAACTTCAAATCAATGGATTATTTCGATTTTTTGAACAAGGGAAACAAGAAGAAAGAAAAGTTTTTCTTCAGATGATAAATAAACATTAGATTTGGAAAGATTTCAAACTAACGAAGATTTTAAATGAATTTCTAATGGAAGAATTGTTTCGATTGAAAAAAGAAAAGAATGAATGATTGAATTGAAAATGATTTGAAAGAGATCTTCATTGAGAATTTGATCAATCATTTTCGACAAAAATCTTATCTCGTTCAAGTTGATTAACAAGTTTTCGAAGAAGAAAAACAAACAATGTGATATCATATTGAAGCTGTTAAAACAAATGAAATCGTTCATGAAGAACATTTGCTGATTTTTTCAAACAATTTGATCTTTTCTTTGTCAAAACATATCGGTTTTGTTCTTTCCCTACTGAATATTTGACCAAAGTTCTTCATCAATGATAATTAAATGATCACGAACTAAAAGAAAAAAATCTTTCATTGATTTCATGAAGAAAATCATTCAATTGACTTGTTTCTTTCCATTTCGGAACACAAGTCACACCTACAAGAGTTAGATAATTGTGAAGTTAATCGCTGTAAGGAACAATTAAAGAATAATCAGATAGAAATAGAAAATGAAAATCAATGAAATCGAGTTTTCAATCGATACATACGATCAATCCACATCAGATTTCAGACGAATTCGACAATTAATTTGGGTATTAGAATTAATGATATTTTTATTCAATTGATTAATGAAATATTTCACTCACTCTTTGTCATTTTGTCTGTTACCAAGAATAGTCTGTCGTAAAAATGGACCAAACTTCAACTGGTAGTTCAATTCAGAAGATGAACGATGTATTCGCGCATTTTATTCTTGATCAAAACACCAATGAGATAACTTTGTTCAGTACAGCATCACCATAAATGATCAGTTAGATCCTGTTGAATGAATTTGTTTTACTATAACTAAAGAAATCGAAGGTTCTTTAAAGATCTTCGTATGTTATTAATTGAATTCGTTTTCAACTATGTCATTGTTCAAGGTCAATGCCGACTGCCGTTCTCTAACTTTCTGACTCGCTCCTAATACTAAATATTGATTGTTGTTAATAGCGATATCATATTTAATAAAGTTAGATTGACAACAAAAGTTGATGAAAGATGAAGAAAAAAATAAATAACAAAAGTCATTTTTTAGACAGAAGCGTTTGCTGTTGTTTCAAGCATTTATATTTCTTTAATCTTGTGTTTAAAATAAGTGAGATAAATCTGATTTAAAGCTTCTAATTCGGTTGGTTCCAACATATTTTCTACTTCATACTTCTTTAATAAATCTAACAAACTATATTTGAAAGATGTTCTACTATCATTGAAGAAATTAAGTATGTCGCTATGACATGTACAATTTCGAACTTTTTTCATCCATAAAAAAACTAATAATTGATAGATCGGAATTTGTAACATGATAGCTTTGTTTATCAACCATAAATAATATTGTTCATATGTTGCTTCATCAATAAATATTTCAAAATAATTCTTATATTCATCCTCTTGATATTTATTGTTCATTGCCTTTGCTTGAAAGGCTTTGTAGATTGAACGATCATCATAGTGATGTGACTGATTTGTTAATGAATTGAAATAACTATGAATTTCCTAAAATATTAAAAAAACATCAAACAGTGGAAAAGATTGTTATTTTACATTCAGTATGTATCGTGGACAAAGCTGTTAACAAGTCATCGATAATTTTATATTTTTCAACATTTTCCTTTTTTTCTTCCAGTTGAGTTAATCTTCGATCAAGTAATACAATATGCTCTGATTGGACATATAAAATATCTTTAAAGTTTTCAAACAGTCTCTTCAGTTGAATTTTCAATTGTCCAATATTTGATTCAGCTGTATCAGCCATTTTGTCCAGATCAGCTTGAATAATCTCATAAATATCTTTCAAATGTTCGACATTGTATTTCGATAAACAATGTTTCCATGGATGTCTTTCAATGTTCCAATCATTCACAAGAATAAGTAACTGACGCAGTTAGTTGACGATTACTGATGGATCCTTCTCGTTTTTCAATAAAATTAATTTTTCACATTGATTTTTTATTTCGGTAGAGCAATATACGGTGAGAGATGATAATAATTCGTGAATTAAATAAGTTAATTGGACTAAATAAACAAAGAAAAAAAGGAGATAAAAAGTCATTGAAATTTTGAGAGATAAAATTGAAAACATTCACAGAATGAGAAGAATTTGACTTATAGTCTGTGAAATGGCCAAAATATTTCTTAATACTCTCACGATTAATTGAAACAAATTACTAAGATCCATTGAGATACGCGAGAAATTTGTTGATCATTGATACCTATTAAATCGATTGATTTTATTTCTTTGTTTGCTTGCAATATATTGATCAATATCAGTCCTGTTTAATCAAGTCATAGTATACCATTTGTTAGTATGATTTTGATAACCTTCGGAACTTGTTTTCGTTGAAAAGAATTATTCTATTTTTGTATTCTTCTCTACTATAATTGGATTGTTTTTATCACACTCTCAATTCCAGACTACTCATAATAAGAGAAAATCTGTATCAGTGGTCTTTAGTCACTTATTGAAAGTTCAGTTTCTTTCAAACTCAATTTCTCGCCAAAATACTTTCGATAACATTCACAAACAAAGTTAAAATGACAAATACATCGTAGTTACAAGCAGAACCGATCATCGACAAGTAATTTATCATTAATAAATAGAAATAGATAGGTCATTAAAACCATCAATCGCAAAAACTATACCCGTTGGAACATAGATCACTCAAGTATCGCGTTGATTTTGAAAGAATTCGTTGTAGATCTCGTAGTTTTCTTGTTGAAGATCAGTGCATAGTATATTCTCCAAAAAGTACTATCAGATAAAAATATTGGATAATCTTCTATCTCGATATCTTTATGTGATCATCGACATCATTGGCAAAGGAAAGAAAAATATTGGACGAGAAAGATATCGAGGGTGTGAATGTAGGGTGTGGGTGGTAGTCTGCGGCTCGTTCACACCCACACCTATAACGTGACAAGTTATTTCTTACACACTTGACAAAATTATTAATTTTAACCGAGTAACTCCATACAGCTTTCACGTGTCATTAGAAACACTTCTTTCCACACGCTTCGAAAGAAACACCAAGGCACAGTAAAAAACTTCTCAAAGATTTTTGCAACATATTTTCAATGTGAACCATGCCCACAGACGGAAACGTATAAAACATACTTCTATACAACGAAAACCGAATTCAAATTCTAAACCTTCCACCTCCATTCATACACATCCTTTCATTGAAAGTTTTTCCCTATCACAAAACTGACATCTTACACTACATATGAACCTTGGAAAATACGACGAGAACTTACGATCAAAAGTACGCACATCAGGCTAAAAAATACAAGACACCGTAAACATCAACTTTGAAAACAATGAACCGTATTTCACCTATAATATGCGTCTGACAAACACTACCAAAAGACTTGAAAAATACGGCATACACTCTTCATAGCCACATGAAATGCAGCAAAGACAGCCCAATCGCACTGTGAGAGATTTGTAACCGACTGCAACACTATCCTCAAAACCTGCGACACAGTATCTCAACAGATCGCAAATGCCCGGAAACGAGGATCGACCGGCGACCGAGAAAACGATGAAAACAAAATTCACAGCACCTTACATCAATACATAGAATAACACAAATGGCAGGGATCTTATCAGCCTTTTACCAGACGCCAACGAGCGAAAACGCAACCAAGAAATACTCAAACAATATCACTACGCAAACAGATCAAACGTTCCTTCCACAAATCCATGCCAAATGCTAGATTGGTAACTTATTTGTGGTCTTTCGATCATTAGAATAGTTACAGAGTCAAAACCATCTGGAGACCCTTGATCAAGGTTGAAGCGCGTCATGGTTTGTTTGCCACACAGCACCTATCCACAGCCCGCACCCACACCCTCGTTCTTATCTTAATTGTACTGAAAGCTTACAAATTACTGCAATTTCATGGTTGAAGTAGTGAGAAGAGCTTATTTTTATAAAATTTTTGCGATAAGTATTGATAAATGTGAGCGGTGAGTAAAATGTTTTGTTACAGCTTAGTGTAACTACATTGTATACGACAGATTTAAATTAAAAGATGATTCTGATCAAGAAGTGTTGTAAGAATTGTTGGTAGCTGTTCAACAAGATCTGTATTATCGTTTTGATTTGCTGGATTCAGGACATCGTCTATCATACCATCCGCATCAATACTCGAACAATTCGTTATAGCATAATTCAAACGTTCATACATAATTTCAGTCGTTGAATATTCAGGTAAATCAAGAATGAAAAAACATGTATGTGCTCCTAAATGATAGCGAAAGAAAGAAATTTATATTAATACAATGAAAAATTATTTTCAACAGATACCATTATGGAAAAAGAACACATTTACAAATAAGTTTTTCTAATTGTATCAGATAAACTATACACTTTAGTATGCTGACTTTAATTTGTTTATAAATTATAGTAATATGTTCTGACTGTAGAGTCTATAATATTTTAACTTGGATGATGATCTGAAAAAGATTTCAAGTATCGAAATCTAGGCTTATTTTCAATAACAATTCTATTCTGGCGTGTGGGTGTAGGAATAGATTGAAGGAAAAAATAGATCCACATTCAATACTCATAAATACGACTTACTTGGAAGCATTTGATCCGTTTCATAATTAGCATCTGGAAAAATTGTTTGAATTATAAATTTCGATGTAAATTCTCTATCATCTCTTGGTAAAGTACTTCTTCCCCAAACGAATATTAAAAATAATTTCTTTTGTTCTTCATCAAACATATCATTCAGAACTATCCAAAATCGTTGAATATGTGGTGAATTTTCATTATATCGACCGTTGTAAATTGTATTTCGTTTCAGTAGTAATACATCAATATGACCTTTTCCACATATGGCTACTTCAAGTTCATCAGCTGTAAACAATGTTAAAAAATCACTTGGAATGACACTACATAACCCTTGTCGAATATATTCGATTTGTCGATGAAATTCATTTAAACGATATTCACGATAATGTGTATAGTATTCTGTTAAATTTTTAGTAGTAACCGGAATATCTTGACCACCAGGAATAAGTTCATAGGTTTGTCCTGATGAACTGATAACATCAAAACAAAGCTCACTCAGAACACTACTAAATAGATAATTCATATCACTATCAATGTTAATCGATTTATTCTGTTCAATATTTATTTCCATTTCTTTAGTAATAACACCGCATTGAATATCAATTGCTTCAATATCTTTCATAGTTATTGGTTCTCCTACTAATTGTTTCCATAATAAGTTTGCAAATTTTAAATTCAAATAATGTTTTTTTCTAAAAGCCATACCCATTAATTGTCCAATGAATTGATATTGTTTTTTAAATTTATTTGAAATAGGTTCATGTGGTGGAAAAACATTTGGTATCCAACAATCACGATTTAATCCATTATTTATTTGTCCATTTGGACATAAAATAAATAATGGTAAGCGTGTACTGCATATATCCGAACAAATAGCTGTTATGGAATCTCGATAAGGTCCACCTTGATCAGTACTATGCATTTCAAGATATTGTGCTCGCCATAAACGTTCATTGCTTTGTCGAAATAGGATATGAGCGTTTTCATGTAACTGTTGAAATGCTTGACTGAACATCGTACTCTCGCCTTCATTACCATTAATACTAGCTTCAATAGTGTCAAATGTGACTTCAGGTGGTTCAATAATAGCATGAATTTCAGTTTGTGTTAAGGATTGTTTAAGCCATTGGACTTTTCTTTTTTCTAATAGATAAATCTTAGCGATTCTGATATAATCTACTAGAATACTTTGATTTGGCAATAAACTAAAATCAAGCATTGATACAGTTTTTTCCACAAATATGTTAAATTGATAGAAAAATTTAGCTCGAACTTGTATAAATTTAGCTGGAATATTTATTAGTGCTGGATAATTTTTATAAAATGTCGAATTCTGTGTTGATTCAGTCGGTAAATTAGAGATGAATTGATTAAATGAATTATTCATTGATGGGTGTTCATTCATCAATTTAATCAATTGTAGATCAGCCAATGTATCGAAAAGTGTATTTGATTTTTGAAAATCATCTGAGGTATATTTGGGATTTTCACTCAAAATATCATATGTTTGTTCTATGAATTGTTTAGGATATTGTGTATGTTTACTTTTATCGATTAACGCTTCAATAATATTGATAACTATGACTAGATCATGAAAATTTTGTGAACATTCAGCCAATTCGAACTCAAATTTTTCATTTTGTCGTTCTGTTGTCATTGTATCATGAGAACTTTTTCTTTTTATTAGGAGAAATACTAAATCCATGACAATAGTTTGTAGTGTTCTTGTTACTGGACTGCTCATAGATACAGTTATTAATAATAATTCATTTAATAAATGAAAAAAGAAATTTTGTGATCGTACATTCAAATTGAAAGTTTGACTTGCTTGAATTAAGCTAGCAAATAAAAGAAAGAAATATATTTTTATATATGATCAGTTAGAGACAAATGGATCTTTTGAGTTATAATAGAATTGTGAAACTTGTATTGAGTGCCGCAAAAAATCTTTATAGAATATGGATGAGGTAACCTCTCCAATCTACAGAAATTTTTGTTTTTTCTTAGCAAGTTCTCAGCTTTTTACTGCCTTTTGAGCTAATATTGAGCTCACAAATATGACTTGATAAGACTAGAATAATATTGAAAGAGTTCGCTCCCATTTCAGATCGAAATTCTATGCTGTATTTTCTATTCCATATTTACAATGGACCAAAAATTCAGTAAAATGGGGTATAACGCGATTTGAAAAGCCTATGGACACAAATTCTTTTAGGTTTTCTTTAGTCTGCTGAGACCTCCGCGTAGAATCAACATAAGCTCCAACGATTCAATATTATAGGATACAATGGAAACGAGTCCGATATCTATTGCATGAATACTAGTATGTTTATACCTTAATGATCTGTCGAAATCGAATAGTCTTTTTCTAATACACAGACAGGGATCGAGTTAGATAGATTGTTAATTATGTATCTGTTCCTGTTATGATGTGTCCCGAATGAGTCAAAGATTTATAGACCTCAATGTTAGATCGATACAATGTTCTACGATTCAGATCTGTTTAAAATAAATTTGATTATTGAACAAAGACTGTAAATACTCATTACTTACGTAACAAATAGACGGAGAACCATTATTTTTGATTGATGTTCTGAAAGTAATAGAAATAAATCGAACATGAGATTAATAAATGACGCTCGAAAAATAAGTGGAAGGAATAAATCAATTTCATTTTGTTTCATTATTGATTTATCAGTTGCTAATTTAACGAAGAGATTTAACATTTTGAAAATGAAATTCAAATTTGATTGTTTAATCAGTGTTTCTTCATTAATAATTAATGTATTCTTATTTTCTAAGTCGCATAATAATAATGAAGGGTTCAATATGAATTGAATCAACTGAACAATTACATCCTTTTGTAACTCATACAATAATGGAGCTTTACTTTTTAACATTTCAATAGTAAATTCTTTATTTTTATTTGCTTGTTTAATAAATTCTTTTGTTTCAAATTGAAGAATTGAATGAATTAAGAAAGTTACTCTATTCATGTTATCATCTATGTATGAGCTTCTATATGTATAATGATAATCTAGTAATCGCAATAATTTAACCATAAATGCATAATCACCAAATTTTTCCAACGAAAATGCACTTGAATCCTCATTTGACCAAACTTTTAACATATTTAGAATACTGTTACGCGCATAGATTGTTATTAAACCATGTTCACAAGCGAAACGCGAATCTAAATATTGTTTTCGTGAAATTTGTTTATGAGAGTATTGAATGGACTTATGAATGATTTTTCGTTGATCTAATATCTCAGTTGTGAATTGTTGTTCAGATTTCCTCAAATCTAATAGTTGATAGATATCACTTAGATCTGTTCTTGATGATTTATCATTCATCCATTCGAATATCGTATTTGGTATCTGTAATCCATAAACCATTTGTTGATACCATTCCTTTTCGAATCGTACTTGTCCATTCTTATCCGATTCATTGTTATTGTTATTTTCCATATGAATTGAATCGTTTGAACAATTTTTATAATCACATATCAGTTGACCAATAGTTATTATACCTTCGTTATTGAATTCTGGAATATTTCCTAATTCATGCCATTTTTCTTGTATGAAAGATGAATTTACTCTGAACAAAATGATTAAATTACGTTTTTGTTGGTTTTCATGTTCAATTTTTAAAAACTCATCTGTATTTTCGCGTATAACCGTATCAAGAACTTGACTATTTGTTGAATTTGTTTTTTGTATGGCCCATTTGATCCATTCTTCTTTATAACCGATAGCAATTAAATTCGATGCAATCAATGAAAAAGGTGGTGCAACTAATGATACTAACGAATCATTTGGCGATTTCATTTGTTGATTAATCAAATCGAGTTCTACTAATCGATTAAGAAATGTAATCGATTTGCATTTAATTCGAATTAAATCATCGTTAGTGGTATTCATTTCTAGATCTGCTTCTCGAAACAGATCAATATGGTTGGTTTTTAATACAAATTGATCCTTATCAACATTCGAACGAATATGTAGTATTCCATTGATATAAATTTCAACAGATTTCTTTTGAACAAAAATAGCTAAACGCATATATTCATTTAATTTTAATATGCGTTTACTTTTATTTATTTTTTCATGATTCAATAGACAAATTTTACCCTTGTGTGTAATATAAATTGCAGCTTCTGAGTTGATGGATAAAATTGTTATATGTTCATTAGTTGTCGGTAAATTCGGTAAAGAAATATCGAGTATAAGTGAATATTCAAACCATTGTTCAATTGATTTTGAAAGAACAAGATAGGTTTTATTACCATATAATTGTATTGTTGATTCATCTGTATCATCAATTGTTCTAAAATATTTTGTTTCATCAATATCAATTTGTTCTTTCTTTTTTTCCCAAAGACTTTCTTCAAACGATTCATTGAATGGAACAAGTAATTCATTATTAAAATGCTTTTGATTTTTATTAAAGACAAAACTATTTGCTTGTTGTTGATATACTGTCAATTGTCTATAATCAACTGCTACATAAGATAGACCATAAGTAAATAGACGTCGAATATGTTCTTCACATAAAGCATATTTCCAAACGCCTATATTTTTTATTCTAGCACCAATATTGGGTAAAATATGAAAATTAAATTTTGTCATGGTTTGTATTTCAAAACTACTAGTAATTACTTGATATAGATTATTTAAATAGATTCTAATTTTTTGTTCTTTTGAACAAATTACAATAGCAGTTCGTGCTCGATTATCAATTTGATCCGATGGAATTCGTACGGAACAGATTTCAGTTGCATCTAATGTAAACAATAAAAAATTAAATAATTCATTTGAATGTTTTGAAATTTTGTTTAAAATTTCAAAATCAAAACTTATAGTTAGTGATGATTGATAACTATCTATTGATAAAGGAAATCCACCACTATCTTCTAGTAGTAGTAATTGATAATCGTCTAGAGTGTATGAAGTATCAAGATGATATTCATTGACAAAATCACATAGAAGTGTCTTCGGAGTTATACTTCGTTTTCTATGAAAAAAATGTTGAGTATCAAACCCAATTAAATAAGCACTGTTTGGATAAGGAACAATAGAATTTTCAATATTAATTAATGTCGGCAATAATAATGGTTTATATCCATCTGGCAATGGACAACGTGCCATATCATCGGGACTAAATATGAATTCAAACCAACCAACATTTAAATATGGTACATGAACAGTAACAGCAGGAAAATAAGTTGTTTTATGACCATGTGGTAACATATTACATTTTGCTGTCGATGTTCCAACATGTGCTTGATGTTCAAACGGTGTTCCTAAGAATTTTCCATTTAACCAATATTTGATTCGAATATTTTCACCTTTAATTTCGATTCCACATCCACAAATATCATTCTTTATCCAACAAATTTCTTCAAATGGAGCAATGAATTCACCATCGTTGTACAGCGTACCACGTGATCCATCATATGACCATGAGTATTTATCATCGCCTACACCAATACCTTCTCTAGGCAAAGGTGTAAATCCTGTTGTTGCATAACCAATTTGAACAATGCCACCGATTGGCAATCGAACACAATAGTACCATTTACCTTCAGTCAATTGTAGATTATCAACAATGAACGTTGGAAATATTCCAGTTTCACTTTCAGTAGTTAGACAGATTTCACCATTAAATCGGTGTTTATCACCACATTCTTTGATTAGACTAGAATCGATAAAATTGCGTGGCATTGAAGAAATAACCAAGTTCTTATCCCCAATTCGACCGCGTTCAAATAATTCAATTTCTGATTTCGATGTATAAGGCTTCCATCCATTATATTTCAATGCACTCATTGATAAAGCGTTGACAACCAAAGGATCTCGATTGAATTCATCTTGATTCCATATAATAAATGAAGTATTATCTTCCTTTTCTATGATTGTTGTCTGTTGAGAAATTTGATTATTATTATTATTATTACTAGTAGTGTAATTATCATTTCCTGTTTCTATAATTTGTTTGAATCGTAAGGCAGTATTTAAACTCAAACAATATTGTTCTAAATGTTGTTGATTGAATAAACGTAAATCAACAGGTAATGAATAATTTTTAAATAAAGAATCCGACATTGATAATTTAGCGATAAATGATGAATAAGGTTTTTCCATGAAAATTTCAACAAGTTTTTTATCATTTAACATATAACACAAAGCTGACATACAACGACGTTTCAGTTCTAATAATATTAAAGATTCTGTTGTTGATGTATCCATTTGTATTATATATCCTAGTGCATCAAAAAGGGAATGTATCGTAAGATTGGGATCATTAATATTTATCAATAAGAATAGATTCGGTAGCATAACATCGATTTCAATTCGTAATTTTTCACCTGAAATCCATTCAGTTTTATTTGTTTTCAAATATTGAATGAAATAGGGCAAGACTTCAGATGAATTTGAATTTTCATCATCGGTATTAATATCAATAATTATTGCTAGATCATATTCGTTACTTTCTTCATTCGGATAGACATTAACAATTGAACCTAAACAGTATGGTTGGATATATCCACCAAAAACACATAATGATGCAAAAACATAGTTCATTTGAATGGTATCCATGGTGTTAAATGATTTCAACTTGATCTCATTTACAAATGATATGATTGCATTGTAAATCAATTGTGTTGCCATCATTTGCCATGGTGACTTTAAAAATATTACTGTACGATAGATATTTATCAATTCGGTAATTATTTCCGAAGTCATATTCTGTTTCATAAAACTATTACCAATTGAGACTAAAAGTTCATCTAAAAGATTTTTTATAGTAATAATTGCTATTTCATTTGTTGTTTCCGGGAATAATGGAATTAAATTACGTAAAATTTTCAATGCAAGTAAAACTGTAATTTGATTTTTACTACTACGATAAATATATAATAATTCTTCAATATAATCAATATTTGCACAAATCAATCGAACATTATCATATAAATAAATACATCGAAGTAAAAATACTAATAATTGATTTGTACAAAGTTCAACATCACGTTTCGAGGATAATTTACTTGAATGAATCGATATATCATTTTCAACTGTTGCTGCTTTAATAAACCAATCAATAGCAGCATGATTTAATGAATATTTTCTATTTTCTATTGAACTATAAATTTCATTTTCGACATCAGTTGGTAATAATTGTTGTAATTGTTTTAATCTTTTCAATTCATTTAAGATTATAATATTAAAAGCGAATTGTTGTTGTTTTACTATTTCATTAGATATACTCATGTTTTCATCTAATCCGATATTTTCACATAATTTACATACATAAAAACGAAACCAATTATATGCAGTTAATTTTGTATCAAGTGAAACGATATAATTTGATTCTTTAGTAAAACTAACAAATGATAAAAATAATACTTCAACAAATTGATCTTGATTTAAACAGACAATATCAATAGATTTATAGGATAGATTGAGTAAATGAAACATATTTTGTATTAATAATTTTGGTTCAAATGTTAATAAACGTAAAATAAACGAGAAAATCGTTTTAATAATTGAATAGTATGCATCACGAATTTGTTCTTTAAGTTGATTGTTTGTTGCTTGAATATTTTCTAAATAGAACCATTCTGAATTGGAAGATCTTAAATGAGGTAAATAAAGATTTAAAATTGTTACAATTTGATTTTGATCATCGATTTCTAATAGATTTTGAATAAATTTATGACTAAAATGATATGTAATTAGTCGTGTCATTGCACGTTCATAACATCGAGACATACATTGAGAAAGTTCGTCTAATTCTAACTTCTTTTCTTCACTTGTTATTAATGTTGTCGTCTTGTAGAAATCACCATAGACAAACGTATCAATTAATTGATTTAAATTACTTTCAATTCTAAGATTTAATTTTGTCTGTTTTTTAGCTAGCATTAATTTTTTAAATCGAACACATGCTTGCATTGTATTACGAAGTAAACGAAGAACATATTTTGCTTTTGTCCATCGTGAAACTTGTCGTTGAAATGATAATCGTTTTTTTGGTTGTATATTTGTTAGATTTAGTAATGCTGATAAATCTTCATCTGTTTCGATTATTGGAATTAAATTTCCTTCTCGAATATATAAAAGTAAAAATAATGTATTCATTTTAATTTGTTTATAGAGTTCATTTAAATTACCACCTTGAGCTCTTGTTGTTGTAAATAATATTTTAACATCAGTTGAACATTCATAGATTGATAATAATTTATTATGTGGTTTTTCATCATCCCTTCGCAGTAATTCTCTTTTAGCAAGATCAATTCGACGATAATGTTTAATATAAACAGCAAATAGAGCAGCACACGCATCATTTGCTTCATGTTCGATTGATTTTAATAATTGTTGTCTATCTTCAACATGTTCTTTCATTTTTGATATTAATTGTGCACCTTGACCAATGTTATTGTAAATTGACATTAAAAATTCATCATCCGATAACGATGATAAGGATTCTTGCATTTGATTGTCTATTTTAAATCGGCTATAAACAGCAAGATTCGATTCGTATAAATCGAATAGATACTTATTTTTTTCAATTATTATTTTTTCACATCCACCCGCAAACAGAAGTGATTTCAATTTATCAATATGTTTCAACTCAGAAAAATTCTGTTCAGGTCCAATAATCATCACATTGCTCATTTTACCTATTAACCAACATATGACATACAGACTATTTGATAAATTTTCTTGATTCATAGTATTCTTCAATAGATATTGTACTAATATTGGCAATAGTTTCGTGAATATCGGCTGGACTTGGTCAAAATTGAAAATATTTTCTGTTTTTGTCATTAAACACAAACTAATAAAAATTGAATTCAATAAATCATTATCAGCACAACTCCTTAAAATATGACTGACATAAGTAGTTATAAAAGATACAAAACCATGAGAAATAAGAAATTTAGATAAATCACTTTGAGTTGAATCATCATATTGAGTATTTTCTATTTGTGATGGTGAAATTAATTGTGTTAATAAAAGTTCTTGAAACATAATTAGAATTTGTCGAATTTGTTTTTTTCGTGGTAGGTCTATATCATTCGATGGATTTGAGCAAATATCAACGAAAGAATATAATATTGCTAATGCTGTCATTTTCTCTGAGTTATTTTCATCATCATTGACTAATACTTCGATCCAGCTTAGTAACAATATACTTTTCTTCAATTCTATAAATAATTGTTCAACAAATAGAGGATATTTATTTTCAATAATATATGCGTAGAAAAATGATAATTTTTCTGTAAATGATCTTGCTCTTTTATCGATAATATACATAAGAGCTTTTGATGCTTCTTGACGGATTTGTCTCTGTCGTAAAATTTCATCTTCATTGCAAATTAATTTTAATAATAAATCAAACCATAATTGGTATTGATGATCGTTTACAAATATAGTTAAATCAATGTCAAATTTTGATTTACTAGAAGAAATTCGACTAGTTTTTCTATATTTCTCATTTGTCGATAACAAATCTCGATCAAGAGTTGATGATACTATAGATAAAAATTTCAGATGCGTTGCGAATAATCTTAAACAAACAGTCAGAATATGACAAATGATCATATTGGAACCCTTTATTTTGGTTGCTATGAATTGTTCAATAATATGAAATAACTGTTGAAATGTAGTCGGATGAAATTCGAATGAAATTGAACTATCGATTGAACCATATTTTAAGTGTTCAACTGAATGAATTCGATTATAAAAATCAATATGTGCCAAAACAACAGATGCGACAAATGGTCCAGTAAATTCTTTTTCATTTAATTGAATTAATTGTGAATTTGGAAATACACCAATTGCTTTCAAATAGTCTAATAAAAAGAATCAATAAAATTTCATTTAGAAATTTGTTGTTTTTACAAAACAGCATTCATCTATGTTAGATTCACAGTCTATTGAAATGAATTACAGAATAGGAAGTGATTCGTCTTCCAATGTAGGAAATTTATTTTTTCTTAAGCTATTGTATCTTTCCTAAAACTACACATTAGTTTCTATTAAAAATCTCAATGACCGATTCCAAATCAATGTCATTACTTGTCTACAAAATCCGGCAGTAATGTTCATTTTGACTATTTATTAAAATCGATTCATCTCAGACAATGCATCAATAACTCTCATAGAAACATATTCTAACCTGTTGTTTCATTGGCTATTGTGTCATCATCTATGTCTTGTTCAAAATTATGATCAGAATTATTATTTTGTTGTTGTTGCTTTTTCTTTGACATTGTATTAAGAGCTTCTATCAAACAATTATTCATTCGCGTGAATAAACGTTGAACATTGTAAACATGAACTTTATTGAATAAGAGTTTTCTTAGAATTGTTAGAATGTCTTTAAATGATGCTTTTGCAATAGCAAAATGCAATAAAATTTTCATAGATTTGTTTGCTACGATGAGGTTTTTCGATAATGATAATTCATGAAAGTAATTTGTTAACGGTTGCAATGATTGGAACCAATGTTTACCGATGAGTGGTGATGAATCAGATGCTGTAAAATTGATCATGGGAATCTGATCACATAACTGAATTGTTAATGTTAAAAGTTCTTGAACAAATGTTGGATCATTTTTTTCTGCTGACTTGATAAACATTAGCAATAAAGATGTTAACGATCGTAGAGCAAAATATGATACTTGTTGAATTTGTAATTTGTTTTGTTCAATTTTATTTTTGATGGCAAATGTGTCGATACTCTCTGAAAATGTATTGTGAAGCGATTCGACTGGAATGGATTGATCAATATTTTCATTTTCTTCTAAGTTTTTTTTCAAATATATATTTAACATTAATTGTTCTTGTTCTTTTGCCATAGCTCTCATTTCTTCAGTAGTTTCTCGATAACGAATAGAAACCAATGGAAAAACATCTGTTGTAAGTATTTCATTGATTTCAGAATTGATTTTTGTAACGTCAGCTAAATGTATTTCTAAAGAGAGATGCTCTTGAATTTGTTTTATTAGTTGTATATGAGCACTTGCAATTTGATCAAATCCAATTGAACTTGTTGTCATGCTATCAAGAACTTTGATACATGAAAATAAATGAATATTTTCATCACCACTAAGAGATACAATTTTTTCATAACTAAATTTTGTATCATCCATATTAATTCCCTCAGATACTCTTAAATTAATATCTGATAATTGTTGTCCTATTGAAACATATCCGTTGTTATCAGTTGAATTCGAAGTTCGATATTTTAATGACCTATCAATAAATCATTTGAGCAGTATTACACTAGCCCAGAGTGTACTTGGAATTTTAGGTAATCAAAGGGTAACAAACTAGTTTCTTGAATTTCGAATAATTTCTAACATTAGAAATAGCTCTTTTTCGTTGATTACTAATGACTGAAAAATCATTAGAAATCAACAGAAAATGAAAAGAATATGTTGATCTTTGAGACATTGATTTCTCGCAATCTCTAGTAATTTCTAATACACGAAGTCATTTTTGTTGTCTTTGATTCTGCGATTACTAGGTGATGAATTATAGGAGCCAAAGGGAATTAAAATTGATGAAAATTGGTTGGTAGGGATAGTGAACTAATATATTAAGAAAATTAAAAGCAAACATTCTTATATTTCGAAGAATATTTAAAGGTTCAATAATTTTTTATTATTGTATGCACTGGAAGAATGCATATATTCATTCATTATCTTTAGAATTCCGCATCTAACCAATGACTAAGCAAACAACAATATGATTTGAATGAGTTTCTGATTTTTAATAAAGACTATTCGATAAAATCTAGTCGGAATTGATATCAGTTAGTTATATGCATGTGTCTAATAATAAGAAATGATAACTCACATAATGTACTTTTGCTCACAAATAAAGTGAACGTAGTGATACAGCACAAACTTCACAGACCCTTGCTTTATACGGTGAGAAAAGACCCAGGGTAGTTTTCTAGAAAAAAAAACAGTTGTCGACCAACATTACCATTGAAAATATATGTAAGTCTGTTTAATTTCGATTGACGTGCGATACTAAAATGTCAACTGATTACCGTGTAATTACAAGTATATACGACATCATTTATGAAGTATGAGAGTAAATGAAGAAATATTTGCCAGGAAAGCATAATTTAGTATTCATAAACATTGTTGTATACAGCATTGGCCATTACCTTTAGATATGATATTAAATATTTATGAATATACGTCCCTAAATTACCATACTTATCGATGCTGCTCAATTATCGATATGTATCAAAATGTTTGCAACATGGCGTTTTGCATCACAGTACGATCAAAACAAGAAACCTTCAGTATCGTTTCAACGGATACACTGTGACGTCAGTAGGGTGTGGGTGTGTTTGTGTCCTAGACACGAAGACAAATCGACAGCGAGACCCACACCCCACCCACATCCACACCCGACACCCACCCCTCCAGAACTCACTTTCGAAGGTTACTTTAACAAGGCAGATCACAACAACGATGAAATTATTCAACTTGATGAATTCGCCACGCAATTCAATTAACTCTAATCACGCATCTATATAATCTTGATTTTTTTTTCTCATATTTTTTTAAAATCGTAACATTTAGTGTTTTATGATATGACGAAAGTAATTAACCTATCTAATATGTTTTATTGATGATTTCGATTAAAATCAAAGTTTTTCATTCATTTTTTCACATAATTAGAGCTACGTAATCATTTTTTCCAGGGTCCATGTAACTATTTTCAGATGTATAACGTGCTTCTAAACCTTTAGGAGTGCTGTAATTTGATGCGTTTAAATGCGTCTAAACGGTAAGATTTTCGAGTATCTGAAAGCGTTCAAGAATTCAAACATTATCTGCAGGGTATGAAATGTATAAACCTACCAAGATATCGACACTTAATTGAAAACTTTCCGATTTTTCTTCTCTTATTAGTCGAAAACTTAGGATGAATTGTTATTGATAGAGATTGCACTTGGTTTTGACTCATTATTTTTCGAATTGATTTGGTTTCAATTGAGAAGGAGAAATTTATCATATTTATTCTGTACTTATATGATTTTCTTGTTCATCATTTTGTGGCGATCGCTGATGTTTCTTTGATTGTTCGGTTATTGAGTTCATCGTAATTTTTTGTTATCCATCATTGGTGATACTTTAATTGACGCATCAGTGTTTATTGAGTTATGATTATAATTATGATTATGATGAACTATGTTGATTAATGCCGTAAATTTTTCTTTAGTCCTGCCATGGTGATGACATTTACGTTTCACAAGTTTAAATTTTGTATGAGTACGAGCTTGCCTTTCCTTGTTTTCTGATTGGTTTTGATGATTTGCGATAGGACTCGTTTGATTGTGTTGCAACGTCACTTTTGTCAGTAGCCATCGATTATAGCTAAAGTTCGAAAAAAAGCTTATTATCTATTGACTACTACTAGACGTTAATGATTGAAAAACAGCTACAGAAAAGGTGTAGGGATGGATGCGGGTGCGCTGTGGATGTAATTGTGAGTCTATCCATCCCAACAATTACACCCACACCCTTCGTAGGAGGCTTTCACACTCGTACAATTTGCTCTGTGGTCCAGAAAGCGATTGCATGTGATTTACACATTTTCAATTTATGAAAGGTTACGTTGGCAAACTTTTTAATCAAAACATAATTCACTATTGATGATTGAAATTTGAATAATCAAGCATTTTTTTAATTATTCTAAGAACTTGTTTTACATTACTATTGAGAGATTTTTTTCTGTACCATTTACTTATGTGCAAAACTACATGAAGCAGAAAATACTATATTTGTTTTGCGTTATAACTATAATGACACCACGATAAAAGCTTACTGGTTGTGAAAGAAACATATGCAAAAGTAGAATAATAAATTAACAGTCCTAGTTCGAAGTAACTAGCTTGGCATTTGCTTCTTACAAATTCAAATAGTCAAACACTGGCGGAAAAAATTAGGAAAGAGGTATTCATCTGTAACTCATACATTTGTATGCATACACATACACTCAATTAGACAGTAGAGCAAGTAAAGTCATAGGCCTTAACAGAATATTGTTACTGGTTACAACACATAGAAACCTTTTAGAATTAGTCTAAAATGATTGATCTTCACGTTAGCATTATTGAAATCAACATGTTCTTGTTCAGCAACCGATAAACTATCATTGATATTCGGAGTCCAAGAACTCTGTTTGTATTAGTTTATGGTCGATATTACTCACTATTAGATAAGTTCAATTTGAAGCACGATAGTCGATTAATATACGTAGAACTAATGTACGTACACATCAGTACTACAATCAGTAACGGTGGATCCAGTCTTCTAGAAGATTATTTTGAAAAAATTCACCATAGATATATTCTTTTTCTTACATATCGAACTAGTTTTCCTGATGCAAATGACTATTTCTATTAAATGGGTAATCATCAAAATACGCCTAATATATTTTATCAAATCACATCGGTATCAATTTATGACAATGAAACAAAATAGCAACATTGTTCGTCTTTGTAATTTAATATATATTTATTTTCACTTTGTATTATTAATATCACATCTTTCACAGGATCGAAAAAAGGATAATAAAGCGTATTTAGGAACAGATGCAGAGTACACTTTCATTAAATTCATAATTTTTTGTATCTGACGAACATTGCCTTAGTGTACAAGGCTAATGTAGAATTCGTAGTCATATGAAACTTTATATTCATTGATAGATGCTAAAATAGAGAAAACTAATAGAAATAAATATTGAAGACAAATTTTTCAACATAATCGTTACAAGACTAAAGTATTAAACACGATAGAGCTCCTTTAGGTATTATGGGAAAACCCGAGTGCACAAAGCGAAAACTTCCTATTTTAGCCTATTCCAAGAGTATATCAAAGTTATCCTTTAGAGTTTTTCAGCAACATCATGTCTACTATGGACATGTATTGCAAACTCTGATGCTGAAGCTCAAATTCTTTCTGGTATTTTAAAAGTTCAGTATCAATGAAATATGATGAAGTATTGTGGCTTGACTCGCAAGTAGACTTCGGTTAAATAAGCTCCAGATGTATTTGGATAACATATTTGACATAGGTAAGAAGTTATAAAAGATAATTTAAAAAAATACTTGAAGTATTCTTATGTACCTAATTGTCATTTTTTTCGTATTAGAGAACTTCATCATATATGTGATACACAATTGGAGATCCAAAACCAGCATGTAGGAAAAAACCGATAGGCCATTATAAACATATAGAAATCTATGCCATAGTCTGTCCATCGGTTACAAGAATATCAGCACATTTCTTGCGGTTTTTGGATCAAGCCGAAGCAAATGAGATTGATTTTCTCGCGATACATGTCAACACTCATCGATACTTATGTTTCATAAAAGCATTATAATTAATAATGAAATAAAAGCCTCGTGTAATTTCTGTAGTTATTCAAAGTTAGATGTGGCTAATCACGAGATTGATTAGATTCTTATATGATAAAAAAAAGTAAGCAATATATTATAGTCATTAGTTTTGAAGTATTCATCCATTTTTCTATTGAAAATACATAGTCACTAATGATTTGCTATCGAATTACATTAATCTTGAAAACGTTTAATTTTAGATTTTCTTTCATTAAATAAGTTTCACGTGGTATCAAAATGAAAACTGGGTTCTTTCACCCGTCAATGATATTGCAGTGGCTTAACAGAAAAACAAGCTATCTCATCGCCTCTCAATCATTCGTGAATTCAGTTTAAATACATCAACACATGCTTTACCGAGTATTGCTCGAAGTGAAAGTCTACATAATCGTATTTTTTGGTCACTTTCATTCATTAGTTTTACTGGTCCAATGATCTATTTTATTGTCAAAGCGATCTTGGCTTATTTCGACTATCCGACAAGTGTAGATACAAGTTTCGTTAGTGAATGACCCCAAGAATTTCCAACGTTTAGCTTCTGTAATGTCTCACCACTCCGTCTGGATCTATTTTAGGAGTCTTTTCTAAACTACTCCATGATGAGCAATTAGACAATTACAAATGATAGAACATCGAACTCACTTCAATTTTTAGATCTTACAAAATTTCTCATAGATACTTTGAATAGAAACGAAACAATTGATAAATATTTCTATTCACTTT